AAGGCCACACTACTAAGACACGGAGTCAAAGCAGCTCTACCTGATACATAGAAACAAACACAGAGTAGCTGTCAAAATGAGGAGACAAAGAAACGTGGCCCAAATGAAAACACAGATCAAAACTAAAAAAAAAAAAAAAAGCCCTGGCTGGTATGACTCAGTGGATTTAGTGCCAGCCTTTGAACCAAAGGGTCACCAGTGTGATTCCCAATCAGGGCACATGCCTGGGTTGCAGGCCAGGCCCCCAGTAGGGGACACACTAGAGGCAACCACACACTGATGTTTCTCTCCCTCTCTTTCTCCCTCCCTTCCCCTCTCTCTAAAAATAAATAAAGTCTTTTAAAAATGGGCAATAGGCAAGCACACATATCCTTAGGATTAGCTTCTGGATAAAAGAAAACCCTGAGAATACCGTCTTAGAACCAGGAGTCTTCTCCCTTAGCTATCTTTTCCTATTTCCCATTTCCGAAACTTCTTTTATAGCTGAGGGGCAGTGCTCATTATGCCAAAGCCGAAATGCAGCTCCATCTCAAACTGGAATTGTGCCCTCTGGCACTTGAAAACACTTTAGTTTTCTGCTTGGCTATGTGAGGATATATTTGCACAATATCAACCCTTGCTTCATTGTCAAAGTAATGAATACACACACACACCCCACACTAGTGAATACCCACTGTCCTTCTTAAGTAAGTTAGAGGCAAAACAGGAGATACAGCAGCAAACCTTTCCCTACACAGCTCCCCCGTCAAGAGCAGCCTTCTCACCCCCAACAGCCCTCCCTGTGTTGCTGGCCTGGCAGAAAACAGAGCTGGGTCTTCTCCAGGTCTCCCTCCCCTATGCAGTTAATACCCTCTTCAAAAGGGGAAGTCAGTGCTGAACTCCTTCCTGTGCCAATCCTCTGTCAAACCCTTTTGCCAACAACAAAAAAAAGAGCCAAAGATGAACTTTCCAGGCCCATGACAGTCCCCAAATATTGGGACATATCTGTTTCCTGGCGTTGCAGCACAGGAAACCAAAGTGCTGCCCCTACATTCCATTTTCCTTGGGAAAAGCAATAAAGATCAGTTTGGTTTTTTTTTTTTTTCAGAAAAAGGATGTCATTCCCAGAAGGAGTAAAAATTCTTCGTTACCGCCATTTCCTTATCGTTGCAGATGCTGAAAGAACACTTAAAGTCCTTATTTTTTTGCTCCCCTTCATGCTCCAGAGGCTAGAATTCATCCCTTCATACATTCCTTTGGCACTTTGCTGGGTATGGGACCACCAGCAGCTGCCTACAGCAATCTCCAGGGAAGTCCTGTAGGGTAACACCTTTTTCTGTGAGTTGTAGAAGGGAAGCAGATATTGGTCTCCTTCATACTTTGACAGGAACTGAAGAACTTAAGGATTTGGGTCTGATGCCCTTTCAGTGGAGCCAGTTCAGGCCAGGGCTGGAGGGGGTGCGTGTTCCAGGGGCAGTGGGTCTGAGGGAATGCCAGGAAGTGTTCTTAATGGGGGTTGAAGAAGTCTGAGGCATCCTGGGAACAGAATGTGCTGGCGCAGGCCCTGAGCCATCCACAAACTCCTCCCACTTCCCTGGTCACTAACCAGTTCCAGCTGTGCACAGTCCTAGCCGTGGCTTCCCATCTGGCTTCTAGGAACTCATGACTAATTTAAAAAGTACATGTGTGTGTGCAGGGTTCTTAAAAACAGAGGTTTCCAGAGTAACGGCTTGGAGAGAACTCAATGCCATTGAGCCAGGGAAAGTTCCCTTTATCTTGATTCCCTCAGGGCTTTGAGGGAAAACCAGCATCTCTAGATCAAGAGCAGTGCCGGGGGTGCTGACACTAACAACCTACCTTTTTCTCACCTCCATTTTCCAGTTTCAGGCCCCAGACTTGCCCTTACATTCCAGGATGTAGCCCTTCTGGACACCCCATTCCAGTAAGGGTGGCTCTCAGAGGGAGTGGGTGATGGTTTAGAGAGTGGCTTCTCTTGGGCTTAGAGACCTCCACAAGCCTTTGCCTTCTACCGATAGATAGCCCCATAGCCTCTGATCATTAGTAAATACCCTCAGAATCTCACCCAATCTCTTCTGTGACAGTTTAACATAATTTAATTAAAAATGTTTCTATACAAACTCTTCTGCTACATTCTGTAGGCAGAGATGGAAACCAGATTGCAGCAAAGGAGCAAGTAAGTCACAGGACCCAGGAGTTCTTTCTGTCAGAATCAAGTTCTCTTCAGGGGGCAGGAAGACCACATGCTCTGACCCTTCACACACATTCCCACATCTCCTCTGGTGGGATGACAAATTCAGAGGGAAAAAGAGCTGGGTCAGCCTGGCTAAGGGGGTGGGGCTGCAGAAGCGGTGGTCATGATGTCATTGTGGGAACGGCATTAGTCATGCAGTCCTTGCCCTTAGTCCCTGCCTGCTGCTCCTGGCTCCAGGGGGTTTTGCGTGGGTGCCCGTGGAAACTCCGGGGAAGCTGCAAAGACCATACCTTGAGCTTCAGGCTCTGCTGCTTCCAGCTGTGTGACCCAAAGCAACCTATTACAGACTCATTTTCCTTTTCTATAAACAGTGATAATACCAGCCTTCAGAGTTGTTGAGATTGAAATGAATAAACTATTTGGCAGCTTTTACTATTTTGCTCTATTCCCTCTTGGATGGATCGTTAGTATCTAGGATGTGATTCCATACCCCATGGCCTTCCAAGGCCACAGTGAATGCCTGCTGCCCACTTGGTCACCTTCCATGATAACCACCATCTCTCACTAACACACACTCCTAAACATCCCTCACCTCTTTTTTTTTTTTTTAATTTCCTTCCCCAAGTCCTTTTTTTTCTTGTGTGAGGTGCCTAAGAGGAGGGAATAATCTGCTATCACGTTAATCTTACTTTACTAGTTTTCCTTGCATCCATCCTCCTTGCCTGTATTCTCCTCTCCCCCACCACCTTCAGCCCCTGCCCCTCTCTCATTATCCGTACTGCTTCCTATTGCTTTCTTTTCCATCCCAGCCAGTCCCCAGGGGCTGAGGCTGGGCAGGCAGAGCTGGAGCTGAACTCAGAGCCACAGTTCCAAGTAAATGCATCAAAATGTTGCTAGTGGTTCCATTTTGGGTAGAATGTACTGATGATATTCATTTTCCTCCCTGTTTATTTTGGTATTTTCCAAATTTACTACAATAAGCAATGAATAACTTTTATTCTGAAAAAACAACAACAAAACTTTAATCAGAAAAATAATATAATTTTTAATTGGTTCATGTCTTGTTCTCAAAAGAAGAGGGACTCAGGGGAGGAATGGAGAAAGAGCCCTGCAGGGGGCTGAGCGTGAGCTGGTTCCCCAACTCCATCATTTCCTGGGGGCATCAACCTTAGTGGTGGCCTCAGTCATGGCCTCTGTGATTCATCAGTCGGAGGCTCTCTGTCCTCCTTTGCCTGTCACTGGCCATTTGGGACTTAGTCACCTGATTGTTACCCAGTTGAATGCTGGATGGGTCAGAGTGACCAGCATCACTAAGGAGAACAATATGAGTCAGCAGTATCCCCAATCTCGATCTTGGGTTGCGAAGGGTTCCCCTGCAGTCTACCAGCCTTGCAGGCTGGTGTGTGGGGAAGGGCTCAACACTGGAGTCCTACTGAGAACGTAAGTTCAGTAAGCCTTTCCTCTATTCCTATCACCACTTCCCTGTGCATGTGAAGAATGGTATGCAGATGTCGTGTGATACATAAATGAGAGTGGAACCTTCCCAGGCGCCTAACCATTTAAAGAACAAAACTGTAAGAGTCAGTGTGCATGGGCTATGGAGTCAGCAGTGGGAATATAGACCAGACCAATTAGAAGCTCCATGTCCTTGGTCAAGTTTCCCTCTTTGGGTCTCCGTTTCCTCTTATACAATATTTCCTTCGTAGGAGGGTTGTGAGAATTAAATGAGATAATATAAAACCAACTAACCAACTAACCCAAAGTAGTTTTCTAAAATTTGAGTTTTTTTCCTCTTCCTTCTGTAGCATTCAGGACCCTCTAAACTCTGGTTCTCACCTTGCTCCTTCATTTGATGAAGATTTATTAAGCACCACCTGAAACATTGAGGTAGCCTGGGGCAGGCACTAGGGAGTCAGCGGTGAATGCAGTAGTAGAGACCCTCAGCACTTATTGAGCACAGCTGGCTTTTTTCAGCTCTGCACTTTTACTCAAGACTGGCATTGTCCCTGTCCCTTAGTACCCTTTTGCCCTATCCACCTCGCAGGCAGCCTCCAAAGTCTGCCTTCTCAGAGGAGCTTTCCATAGCCCCATGACCCTTAGGATGGGCACCTCCTGCCTGGCATCCTGGTTACCGTCGTTTCAGGTACTTCCCTTGGCCTTGCCCTATCTGTAAGCTCCCTGCCAACAGGCTCCACCCCCCACCTTATTTCTCTGTGCCCTTGTTAACCCCTACTCCCATACCAGGCTCGTTAAATTCTTGAAACCATGACTTTTTATTAAAGAAGATATAAGTAGACCCTAAGAACATTTAAATTCCCAATTTAGTCTTTGGTGCAAAAAATCTAAGCCTTCAACCTTGATTCCTTCATCTGAAACTCAAGCAACTAAGCTGCTTTCTGCTGCCTACCTTTTATTTATTTGTTCCCTATTCCAGAGTAGACAGGGAGACATAAAGTTTGAAGATGAGGAGTTTGCTGACTCATGGTCCCTTGGGGCACAGGAATGTCCAGCTCCAGGGGATGACCATGGTCCCTATCCTTAGTCCCTGCAGAGATTCTGCTTCTCATCCTTCTAGGATGCCCACCCCCAGGACAGTACATGAAAATTCTTCCCATCTCCAGCAGAAGACTCTGGAGCATGGGCTGGGGGACCTTTTTGACTGGGCACTCTGGCAGGTCAGGGGTTAATGGTGAATTACAACATATCTCTGGGCTGAGTCACTGCACAATGCCACTCCCCCCAATTCCCCTCCCCTGGCATTTTATAAAGAGGACCAGAGACTGGAAAGTGAAAAGAACTAGAGGTAAGAGCCCCCCCACCCACCAAACCCTGCTCCCCCAGGCTCCCAGAAATCTCAGGGCAGAGGCCACAGACGGCTGCTGGAACTCCTGCTTGGTGGGACCATGAACTGGCAGCTGCTGTGGCTGGGCTTCCTACTTCCCATGACAGTCACAGGCCGGGCCCTGGGGCCTGCAGGAAAGGAGGCAGCAGTGGTGAGTCCCCTGGGTAAGAAAGACCCAGGCCAGGAGAGGGATTGGGGGTACTGTTTCACAGTCTCATCCAAGCCTCCCTCCTGACCTTCAACCTGCCTGCCTTTCCCTGCTGTCCTCTACTCCATGATCTACCCCTGTCCATCTCCCACTCCTTCCCTTTGTTCTACCTGGTCTCCTTTCCCAAGGTGCCTCTCCTTTAATCTTTCCATGTCAGTTGCCTCCTATCCTCATGGGCTGGTTAGGTCACTTAGAGCTTTACCCTGAGACTAACCCCCACCTCTATTATAGGATTACCTTTTGCAATATGGGTACCTACAGAAGCCTCTAGAAGGACCTGATGACTTCAGGCTAGAAGACATCATGCAGGCTCTGAGGTGAGAGGTCATAAGGTGCATGCCTTCAGGGTTGAGGTTGCAAGGTCTTTCCTTCTTTTCATCCCTTCCTCTCTCCAGGCCCCCCTCAGCCTGACCAAATCCATGTTGGGATCTAGGGAATTAGATGGCTGGTTATCACTATTAGGGTGGTGGGCATGGGGTGAGATGGGAATTCAAAGATGAGGAGCAGTCATTGGATCTTCTGAGGCTCTAAGAACTCCTTTGGAGACTCCACATTGTATTCAAATACTAACATTAAGTCACATCCCACATTAAATATAATTTATATGTAAAACTATTAATTGAGTTGAGTTGGGGTTGAGTTGTTGACATGATATTGCCTTTTGTAGACATTTAATTAATCATTTATTAATTTCTATTTTGAAGTTTCCTTTTTATACTTTGGATGTAATGGATCATTTTTTCTGTTTGCTCTCACATATGTTCACAGTCCCTTGAAAAGCCACAGTGGCTGCAGTGCCTGATGGATGAAATTGCTCCAGAGCAGGCTGGGCTGGGAGGGGCATCCAGCCAGGAGGGGAAAAGGCTGAGGGAAAACAGGCCCTCAGGTGGGAGCAGTGGTGGAAGAGTCTCCAGAGTAGGGGGTCAGGACATGTCCCCAGAGCAGGTTAGATCACAGTGGAGGTGGGGGGAGGCTACACCTGAGGGAATCCTTACCCAAATAAGAGACTGAAGATGGGGAGGTAAAGTTGGAATATTGCAGTATCTTCCAGAATGGAAGAGAAAGTTCCAATTATGAGGACTGGATATGGAAATAACCCCATCAGCTTCAGAGATTCTATGCTTTCTCAGCTATCACTTTGGGCAGCAGAGGGCCAAAGAGCTTCCCCCAGGTCCCAGTCATCCCAGACTGCTGGACCTATCCTTCTCCTACTTTTCAGAGCTTTTCAGGAAGCATCTGAGCTTCCAGTCTCAGGTCAGCTGGACAATGCCACAAGGGCCCGCATGAGGCAGCCCCGTTGTGGTCTGGAGGACCCCTTCAACCAGAAGACCCTTAAATACCTGATGCTCGGTGAGGCCTGAACCTGGGAAAGGGAGGGACAGGCAGGAGTGGCCGGATAGCCTAGACTAGCTCAGTGTTAAATGGATGGTCACCTGGTGCTGATCATCCCTTGCCTGGAGATATTGTTACATAGCTTTGCTGAGTGAATGCACAAACTCAGGGGAGCTCTCTAGGGTTGGCAGAAGGATCTGTGTTTCTAATCTGTTTTCTGGTCCAATAACCAGGCCGCTGGAGAAAGAAGCACCTGACCTTCCGCATCTTAAACCTGCCTTCCACCCTCCCACTCCACACAGCCCGGGCAGCCCTGCTGAAAGCCTTTGAGTACTGGAGCAATGTGGCCCCCCTGACCTTCCGGGAGGTAAAGGCTGGCTGGGCTGACATCCGCCTCTCCTTCCATGGCCGCCAAAGCCCATATTGCTCCAATACCTTTGATGGGCCTGGTAGGTACCAGCTCTTGGAGCTCACCAAACAGACCTCTGAGATTATCTCTGTCCCCTTGAGCCAGGGACTCTGGAACCTTAATGTTTAGGCTGCCCCCATGCCCAGCTGCACCCTACACTCTCTAACCACCTTCTAACATTCCCTTGGGGAGTAGCTGATCACCTCCCTGGGGTCCTGCTCAAAGCACACCCCAGAGAAGATGGGGCCAGAGAGGGGCAAGTGGTTGGGAGGCAAAGTGACAGCATGTGGGCATCCCTATGAGAACTGCATGATGACAGGGGAGTCTGAAAGGAGAGAGAGAGGCAGCCAAAGGTCAGTGACCATAGATGAGGGAATTTTATGGGAATGGAGTGATTGGAGTTAATAACAGGCAGGGGAGCTCCAGCCTAGGGGCTCTGACTTGTTTCCTGTCCACCTTTGCCTTTGTGCAGGGAGGGTCCTGGCCCATGCTGACATCCCAGAGCTGGGCAGTGTGCACTTTGATGAAGATGAGCTCTGGACTGAGAGGACCTACCAGGGGGTGAACCTTCGCATCATTGCAGCCCACGAACTGGGCCATGCCCTGGGGCTTGGGCACTCCCGATATACCCAAGCCCTCATGGCCCCTGTCTACTCTGGATACCGGCCCCACTTCAAGCTGCACCCAGATGATGTGGCAGGGATCCAGGCTCTCTATGGTAGTCCTTTCCCCTAGTGATCACGAGGGTCAGTCTGACCAGTCTCTCTTCAGGCTTGAAGAGGCAGGTCTAGTCTTCATGGAGGGAAATAGCTTGGCTTATTTCTCTTCTTCCTGCCCAGTTATTCAGACTTTTATTTTCAGGAACCATTTTTCTGACACTTTCTTGTCTAATCTTCCTTTGGGGCCTCTTTCCCCTCAGACCCATTCTTGGAGATGAAGAATTCCAGCAAACCTTGCTACTCAACTAAAACATGTCTCCTGCTGATATCAATGTGATCTTGTCTGCCCCCAAGAGAAACTCTAGGATTCCCTTCCCCCCTCTGTGTGGGGCCTCTGATCCAAACTTACAGAAGAGTGGAGGTCAGGAGTTCGAGTTCTCTCTTTGTGCAGCATTACATTACCTCACAGGCAAGAAGAGCCCTGAGACAGGGGATGAGGAAGAGGAGATGGAGCTCACTGTACCACAAGTGCCCACAGAACCCAGTCCCATGCCGGACCCCTGCAGTGGTGAACTGGATGCCATCATGCTGGGTGAGGCCCTTCCCCTGCCTGCAGGCTATAGGCAAGCAGTGGGGATAGCCTACAGGCCTCGAGACATGGACAAATGGGAATGATGCAGGAGCACAGCATGAGCAATGGAGGTTAGACACCAGGCAGGAGTTAGTAGTTATGGAAGGAGGCATGTGGCATGGGGAGGGAGGGTTCAGAGCCAAATTAAACTTGGACCAAGCAGGCATTTACCATGGTGTTACCTTATAAGGGCCATCTAAACATATCTGGAAATACAGCAAGATGGAGAAAACTATATTAACTGGAATGCCTGTTAGAGATGGTATTATACCTGCACGGAGGGACAACTTGGAAGTCATTTAGAGTGGAAAGTGAGAGTGGGAGCACCTCCCTGCAGGGTTTTTGTTTTGCTGAGTGGACCAGAGCTCAGTTGCCCTGAACAACAAAGGAGAGGCTGAACTGTGGGTCCTGCTTCTCTGCCCCTTTAATCTTACTTAATTTTTGAGTAACCAGCCTGTGGGAGGAGGGCAAATCATCAGCCTGCCTGAGATACCTTTATTTAACTGATGTCGTTTTTTTTACCACAGCCTTTGTTCGATCAGTCTTTTTAATTTGTTGACAGGGCCCCGCGGGAAGACCTATGCCTTCAAGGGGAGATATGTGTGGACCGTGACAGATTCAGGGCTGGGTCCCTTGTTCCGAGTGTCTGCTCTTTGGGAGGGCCTCCCAGGAAACCTGGATGCTGCGGTCTACTCTCCTCGGACACGTTGGATTTACTTCTTTAAGGGTAAAAGGACTAGCTTATGTATCTTACCTGAGGGCCAGCCATCAAAGAAGCCATAAAAGGGAGGGAAAGATGAGAAGTTTCTGAGAGGGTGCAATGGAGGAATCAAAAAAACTATCACCTAAGGACAGAGGTGACTTATTCATACATGTTCTCAGGAGACAAGGTGTGGCGCTACATTAATTTCAAGATGTCTCCTGGCTTCCCCAAGAAGCTGAATAGAGTAGAACCCAACCTGGATGCAGCTCTCTATTGGCCAGTCAACCAAAAGGTGTTCCTCTTTAAGGTATAGACTTCAAAGCAAGGGCAAATCCCTTCTTAGGACTGGCAGGCTACCTCACACGGGGAAGCTAATAGTCCTAAAGGGAGATGTGCAGCTGCAGTGGGCTGAGGGTAGATATCTGGGGGCCCCAAGCTCTAACCTCATCATCCTCTTTTCCTTACCCATCCCACACCTAGGGCTCCAAGTACTGGCAGTGGGATGAGATGGCCCGAACTGACTTCAGCCACTACCCCAAACCAATCAAAGGATTGTTTACAGGAGCGCCAAACCAGCCCTCAGCTGCTATGAGTAGGCAGGATGGCCATGTCTACTTCTTCAAGGGCAAACAATATTGGCACCTCAACAAGCAGCTACGAGTACAAAAGGGCTATCCCAGAGATATCGCCCACAACTGGATGCACTGTCATCCCCAGATCCCAGACACTGCCCCATCAGGTGGAGACACCTCTCCCTCAGCCACAGGCCCTGACTACTCAGTCACAGGAACAACCTTGGATACCACTTTGTCATCCATAGATGCCACCTTGAACACTGACCACTCACCCAGAGACACAATCTTGGCTATGACCCCCTCAGCCACAAGCTCCACCACCCTTTCATTCCCTGATAGTATCACCCTTCCAGAAGCCAAAGACCTCAACCAAATGTCTACTCACTAGACTGCAGGCCCATGCAGTGGCATGGGCCAGAGACCTCGGACCTCTAAATGTCCCAGCTGTAGCCACGTTCCCCCTGTGCTCTGGGTCGGCCCTCAGCTCCATCCATTTTTTCCTACCCTAGATAGCACGTGCAACTGTGTTATCTACTCTCTGGAAGACAGTGGTAGAGGGAAGTTGTCAATCAGGCCTGATGGGGCAACAGCTGGAAAGCTGAATGCCTGGGTCCTGCTTTTCCTAGATCAAGTGCAAGAAAACAGCATGGCCAGTAAAATGAGCAAGGGTTTTGGAATCCTTGAGAATCAAATTTGCTTGTTTATGACTTGAACAAGTTGATTAACCTTGTTGAGCCTCAGAGTTCTCATCTGCAAAATGAGGTTACCAATCCTGCCGGGTTGTTGCATTAAATGAAATACTATATGTGAAGTGCCTGACAGTGTCTGGCACACTTGTGCATAATAAAGACTAATTCCATGTTCATGAGAGCACTGAGCAACTCTTCCTCTGGCTGCATGTGTGGTTCCTACAGTAGCCCGGTCTGCTAAGGGAATCCTTACCAAATCTTTAGTGGTCAGAGGACTTGTCAGTGTGGATAACTCTTTGTTTTGGGATGCAAAGAAAGAAGAGAGCAGCAACAGGAGAGGCCAGACTCCCTGATTCAGCATTCAATGCCACTTTATTCACACATTCCCATGTTCTTCCTCCCTCCCATCATAGCCTTGCTGCCCAGGGAAGGGATATATCTTCTTTCATGCTGTCTAGGGAACCAGGGAACTGACTTTGGGCAGGAGAATCACAGTGGGAGAGTTAAAGTGGGTTAGTGGCTGGGACCAAGTTTTAGTTATGGAAGAGATTAGCATCACCTACAATGAGAGGCAGAGAAGGCACTTGTCTCCCATGCAGCCCGAAGACCAGGCTCCTTTGGGCAAAAAGGCAACATTCTGGCATGTGGGGCAATGCTCCCTCCTTGGAGCAAGAAGCCAGCTTTTTGGGGAGAGGGGGTCTGAACCAGGCACTGCCCCATGGTCTTCCCCACGTCAAGGAGAGAAAGGGAAGGAACGTGGAGGACAATACCCCCAACTGAGGTAGGAGAAGGGGGCTTGAGCCTATGTGGCCCAGGAAGAAAGGCTAATCAAGAATCCCATTATCCCCTAATGAGAGGCCTGGAGACTGGGGGATTCTGGAGCTCCTCTGCACTCTTCTCCCATTTAAAAAGCGATCATGTGCTTTAGGAGGCTTCCTGATTTTCCAAAGCTCCTACAAAAAGAACACTCCTTATTTTACTTTGTGTGGCACACTGATGAGGGTATATAAAAGGCTATCTGGGTAAAGCTCCCCCTTTATTTGGAGGGAATTAGGGAGTCAGTTACTTTAGGGACCAGGGCACCTCTATTATTGGACAGAGGTAGCTACTCATACTTCCATTCCTCTCCCCTCCCTAAACTCCCTCTCTGTCTCTGAAACCTTTCCCTACAGGGATGGTCTAGCTTGGAACACAGACTCCATTCCCAAGTCTAAAAGGTAGGGAGTTTGTGTGTGGGTCCTGTGGGCTCAGGCCTTGCCCACCTAGTGTTCCCAGGCCCTTGCTAAGCGTGGGGGGTATCAGTGGAGGTTTAGGCTCAGGTCTGGGTGGAACCAGAATGTGTGGTGAGGGGTACAGTGGAACCACAGTCAGAATCCAAGTCCAAGATGGTGTGGGGGGCTGTGGCCTGACTTCCTGGTCCCAGGTGGCGTTCTCGAAGGCTCTGGAGGTAACTCTGGAGGGACACAGGGCAGAGAGGGCAGAAGGAAGGGTCCGAGTCAGTCCCCGCCCCACCCTCACCATCCCCATGTGCCCTCTGCCCCATCCTCCAGAGTGCCCCCCTCTCCCCCACTTACAGGAGCCAGACTGTCAGCAGGGCTCCGGGCATTGGTGGGGAGCTGGCGCCGGTAGCTGCCCTCACAGAGAGCCACCCCAGGGGAGGTCCGGTGCCATTTGGCTTCTTGCTGACGGATTCGAAGGAGTTGGAGATGCCTTCGATGGTGGCTCAAGACCACTGCTTGGGAGAGGGCAATACAGACTGAGGGAGGCCTCTTTAGACCCCAAATCCCACCCCCAAACACACTCACACTATAAGAGAAATTCGTCTGATTTCCTTATTCCAGCTCTATCAAACCTCGCCTTCCCCCCAGTTCTTCTAAAAGAAATCCTTCTTTTGAGTCTTCCTACTCTCTCCTTCCAGACTTTCCCGAGATCTTTCTTTTCTTCCACAACAGTCTCCAATAGCTCTCTCTTCTCTGCTCCCCTTGACAATTTTTCTTCTCATTCTTACTCAGACTTTGGCTCCTGAAACTCTAACTTCCTTTCAATGCCCTGCCCCATTCACCTTAGATACCTCCACCCTCCTCTCAAGGGTATTTCCCTTCTCCCCTCCTCAAGTCTGGGACCTGGAGACATTAGAAGGCACAGATTGGCTGCTGCTGTACCATGGCACTAACTTACCATTGGCGTGGCCTCCATGTTCCTCATCCATGAGCTTCCATTGGGCCAGGGCCCCAAGGGCTCCCAGGGCTGGCCAGGTCCCCAGCAAGACCCAGCTATACCAGCAGAGAGGAGGCAAGGCTGGAAGTGCCTGCAAGCGTTGGCCCAGCCGACTGCCCAGTGCCAGCCCTTCCAGGAAGTAGTCAGCACAGGCCACCAGCACTGCAGCACCCAGCAGGGCTGTGCCCAGAACTGTGAGCGGACGTGGCCACCGAAGCGTGAGAAGGGCTCCCAGCAGTGCCAGCCCCACCAGCCCCCCGGCCGGCACCCAGGCTGAAGGTGGTTGGTAGATAGGTTCGGTGCCCAGCAGGGCCCCAGCGCCCAGGGTTAGGCCTAGCAGGAGACCAGTCAGGAAGAGCCCAACACTGCGAACCAGCATGGTGACCAGGCCACAGAGGAGTCCGATGCCCAGCGCAATGCCCGCGCTCACCTCCAGGCTCAGCTGTGTCTCTAGCACTCGCTCCTTGTGGCAAAGCAGGAAGATCACCAGAGCTCCTGATAGCAGGCCCGAGAGAAACATCACTGCCTTGAAGCAGCGGTAGCCTGGGAAGGGAGGCAGGAGGCACTGAGAAGCAGAAGGGGTGGGGGGTCCACAGGGATGGCTCTGATGATAAGCAGAGGAGCAGATAACAGGAGCGGCACACCCAGGGACCTCAAGGCCAGAGGCAGAAAGGGATCACCTCAGGGAGGACAGGGACTATGAGGAGATGGGAGGGAAAAATCAGGAGGTAGGATGGATGCACTGAGGGAAGTAAGTATAGAAAGAAGGTGTAATCTTTTCAGGGATGGTAGATGAGAGGAAATCAGCATAGGCCAATGCAGGTTATTGGGGGAGGGTGAAGAAGCCTTAACATGGAGGCTTAACATGGAGGATAATTTGGGAATGAAATTTTGAGGTAGAAGGTAAGGAGAAGGCAAGTGAGAGTGCCAGGGGTCAGAGCTGGAGGGCACGGGTCGGGGGATGAACAGGAAAAGCCAGCAAGAGCAGTACGGGCCATACTGAAGGTAGGCATACCCTGACAGAGGAGTAGTGGCAGCCCAGCAACAAAGGAGAAAGTTAACATCATCCTTGAGGGTGACAGCCTTGGGCAGCTGCCCCCCAGAACCCTAGCTCTGCCCTCACCGAAGCAGCAGTAGATGATTCCAAAGCAGCAGCAAAGAGCACACACCAGGGCAGGTGCCAGTTCAGGATTGTCCTGGGGTTCCAAGACACATCTTGGATCTGGATGCTCTGGGAGTTGTTGATTAAAGGGCCTGGGGTCAGAGGTCATGGCCAGGGGCAGCAAAGCTTCCTCCATGGCAGGAAGAGAAGGTGGTCACAGAGGGGGAGGTCAGTGTCAGCTCCTCTCATCCATCCATGAATGTCTTGAGGGGGTTGGGAAACCTGCAAGGGTGTAGGGGGCAGGAACTCAGGTGCCCATGAATCTTAAGGACTTTGTACCTCTATTTCTTTTAAAGAAAGGCCAATTTCAGGAGGGAACATGGCCCTGCTGGGGTTGAGGTGAGCCAGCTGTCTTTTTACTACCCTTTGCAACAAGGAAGCTAAATAAAACTTAAAATGAAAATCTTATGAGATAATGAGCCATGTCTGTCCCCTAGCTTTCCAGGGTGGGTGGGAGGAGCAGGAAGTTCTATGGTCTGTGGAGGGAGGTGTCCAGGGCCACTAGTGGGACTGGGGGCTAAAGACCCAGCAACCTGTTTCAGCTGAAAAGAAAGCTTGCCCACATCTGCAGCTGGGACTCAATATTACCCCACTGGACTAGGAAGGGTGTGGTTAATAAAAGGGGGAGAAGGTGGAGAAAGAGGAGAGAATGAGTCATGGTGGGGTCTTCCGACAGCTGCTCCAACTCCAGGGAAAAGGGGGAAAAAACTGGCACCAAAAGAGTTTGGGACAAGGAATTAAGTAGAGACAGTCATACACATTTGTCAGGGTTCTGAAGCCTCTGCTTCCTGAGGAGACCAAGTTGTTGGGGAAAGGGGCATCCAGCCAGTCGAACTCCAACGACCCCTCATGGAATAAGCAGGCACCTTGCCCATAGATATCTCACCTACTGGTTGGCCTCTTAACCCTCCCAGCAGGACACTGGGGCTTTTCCTAACCCTCCCTTTCCCCAGGCTTGTCAGGGCTGCCAGTGGGGTTTGAATTTAGTTTCTGCGAGAACATCAAGGAGGGGCTGGCATTGGGGGCACTTTGGGAGTGGGGTAGGGTGGATGCAGGTACATTCCTTCAGCTATCTTCTTTTGGACATCAAAGTCCTAACAGTCTGGAGGGTTGGCTTGAGGAATCCCTGGGGCTCCTCTTCTCAATCCTCTTGGAAGCCTAGGGACCCTAAATAAGGAGAGGTTGGGTAGGGGGTGTTAACTACTCACCACCCCGCCAGGGCTGAGAAGAGGAAGGGGGCAGAAGTGCTTTCCTAGATCCCCAGCTGCATCCCTGCCCGGAGATCCGGGCGGTTGTCAGGCGTGGGCACCTCCAGAACCACTCAGTTAGTTTCCCTCTAAACTCTCGCAAGTCGTAGCCCAAGCCCCGTGAGCTAAATGCAATTAGCTTTGGAGGTAGGGTGGGGTGGAGGAAGGGGACAGGGTGGGGGTGGTGACATCACGGGCCGGGCCCCTCCAACTCTTTCTCTTGTGTGTGGGGGACCCAGTTTGCCTACTGCTCGAGGCTGGGACCAGAGGACCCCTCAACCACACCAGGGAAAGGCTCTGGGTGCACAAGGGGTTTAGATAAAGGTCTCTGAATAGTTAGGCGATGACTCAACAATTGGGAGCTCTCAAAGCCCCAACAGGGGTCTCAGCGCCCCCCTCGCTCCGGCTTGGTTTCTTCCACTTCCCAGAGAATTGGAGTATTGTCTTCTGGAGAATCTGGTGGTCCAGACTGGGGATTCGGGGAAGGGGGTCTTGCTGATCTTGGGGCGCCGACGAGGTGCATGGGTGGACAAACTTGCGGAGTAAGACAGAGTC